AATTTTAATCTTTTTAAACATGCAGTTTACTGTACATATATAAATGATAACTGACACTCATCCACTGGCTGGCAGAGGTCAGTGATGTTCTGTTTTCTTTTTTACTCCCTGTGTTTATCTATTTGGAATATTTAATACCGTTGTAACAGATTCTTCTCATCAAGGCCATTGGGCTCATGGACATGACCACTGTACTCGGTTGACAACCATTTCTGTAAGTGAGTGAGTCGGGCCTTTATCAAACCTTGATGCTGTTTGATTTTTAATCTTTAACTGTGCTGGGTAAGCCAAATGAAATGCTGCTCATGTCTGAGAAATAGATTGAGTAAAACTGTTTGTCATTCTGTGCATGTGTAAAACATTAGGATGTGGCTGTTGAGTGCTTCATGTCGTCTTGTGTCTATTTATTGTTCTAATGTTCAGTTTTTTTTTCCTGTTTATTGATTCTGAACTGCTGCGGGCGGTGTCTGTTTATTTTGCTCTATCAATTGATACTTTTAAGCAATGTGCTTTAATCTGATAGTACGATATTTATCAAAAACAAAATGATAACATTATTTCCATTATGCAAACGTCAGTATTGCTTAAGCACACCTGGTCCCTTTTTGAATTGTCTTTGGAGTATGTGAATGTGGTACTTCCCCTTTTAAACACCTGAATCACCAGAAATACTGACACTGATTCTTTTTCTGTTCCGTTAACAAATATAAATTCTTTATTGATCCATCACTTGTTGTAACATGCAAAATAAAATGATCCAAGTTGAAATGTATTTTTCTTTTTTAATCATGAGTATACACCGCAAAAAAACAAGCAAAATAAATACAATCGCTATCAATTTTGTATCAATCTGGGAACTTTGAAGATCACGTTGCAGTATTTGGCACAACGAGGAGAACACGGGGAATATTTGAATAGATGTCAAAACCGGTCGCTGACCATGTTCCTCAGGTTTAGTCGGTGCCAAAATACCGCTGCCCAAAATGTGTCGGAGCCACTTGATGAACCTCTGTGGTCAAAATGGTGATGTCTGGGAACTCCTGGATTATAGATTTGGCTCCTAAAGGAATAATAAAGTAACATATGAGTTTTCAAACCATTACTACAATATGTAAGAATTAGTAATCGGTTGTTGAAATTGTAGGAAATTTAAAGAAACCTTCTATTGTTCGTCTTTTTTCTGAAAATGAGAAAATACTCATAATGGATGTCATGCTCATGTCTAAAGGATTTCTACCAGGTGACATTATTCTCTCAACATGCAAACACTGCAGTGACCACTAGGAGGCTTTTGATAGATACATATCTGAACACCTCATTTGTTCGATCTCAGTAAAGTCTGTGGGATTAATAAAATCAACAAACTTCATCCTCTTAAGAGAATAAAAGGACTTAGAAAACGTATGGTTACATGAACATCAGATTTCAATATGGTGTTAAAATGGAAAGTTGGTCTCGGTGGCAGTAATGGAAAGGTCAAGGGCTTAAAAATCCCTCTCTGGGAAACCATAAATATCCACATTAAATGTCATCGTATTCTCGTCTATAGTTAACAAAGAGACAACTACCAAAGTCCACAAATTACTACATAATATTACATTCAAATCATTAAAGAAGGATTTTCTCAGGAAAATGATTTTTATTTAAAAACAAAAGTAAAACTACAAGTGCACTCTGAGGGCGCATACCTCCACCTAACTTCCTGTTAAAGAAAGTGGATAAAAAAAACTCTGTAAGCTGTTTTTCTTTTTCTGGATCTGCTAAAAAAGATGAATGGGTTCTTCCTCGGGTAATGCTCAATGTAAGATAATGGGCATAAATAAAAGTTAATTGTTAGTTGATGAGCTGCAGTTGCAGTGTGTTGCTTGGGTTTGTTTACCATGAGGTGTGGAGAAGAGGCTGAGGAGGATAATGTGTCTGGGCTGAACTCCATGCTCTATCAACACCCTCACTGCTTCAATCACCGTGTTCCCTGTACCTGCAGACAGAGAAAATTCAAGGTTCGAAATTTGAATCACGTTCCACCTTTTATACTCGATAACTTGTCATTACATTTACACTAATAACAAAAAACTTTCAGACTCCTTTTACAATAGATTAGGTTAATGAAAAAAGGATTAAATGCAAAACTTTCCAAATTAAAAATCTGACTGCCTGCAACTGATGCATTATGTTAGCATCAGAAAAAATACACTTGTGTGCTGCTGGATCTGCCCATTAGTCTAGGCACTTGGCAGGCTTTCATTTCTGACCTTGTTAGCACACGTCACTGTAACCCATCATTCCATCATTCTGTCATTATAAAACACACCTTCAAACTGGCATGGTTGCAATCATATTCTTTCAGAAACCGAGAGCAGAAAAATACTGCTTTTTGACATTGGGAAGCCAGGGCTATTAGGATACTATTTTTGTTGGCTTTTATTATGCTATTCAGCAGCTTGGTGGCTATCTACCAGGCAGTGTATAATTTCCCCCATGAGAGCTATAATTATCAGAACATTGTGAATGGACCTCTATCATGTGGAAATGCAGAGTCGGTGTGAAGGTCAACTCAACGGCGATTTCTCAAAATGAATAAATACATGGAAATGTTTTTACATTTGCACAAAAATGGAGCTCTCTTGACATTTACAAGCAACTGAAGGAGATAAACTGGAGTCATCAGCAGGATAAACTGAGCGCAGCCCTCTGTTACTTACTGAGAATGGGATACATGAGCAGCACCTTTCTTCTGTACACATCTGGTGGGAACTTGGCATAGTAGACCTTGGCTTTCTGTGTCTCTTCATCGCTCTGGATGAGGATCTTGCCAATGCGGATGGAGCGGCAGCAGTCCCGAAGACCCTGCTCCATGGCCTCACCTGTGGGCAGACACAGAGAATACAACTGGGATCAAAATGTTGGCCATTCAAATATATATGTGTTGTTTGGATCAAATTATACAGTGACATTTTTTCATCAGAACTGATTTGACTCTGACTAGTCCCGTGGCAGTATGGTGGTAGTTTATGCCCAAAACCAGCCAGATAGGAATCAGGGTCAAAGATACTGTATGTTATCCTGATAATTGATCGATGGTACAGTTCTGTAAAACCCAATTAGAAATCCTGACATGATGCACATCAACCCATGTGGACATGTGGTAAGATGCCACGGCTGTCAGGACTTGAATAGAAAACAATACGTGCAAGTATTTTTTTAAAGATATTTTGGGGCACTATGGTCTCTGTTGATGTTGAACCAAACCTGTGGCTGCTGAAGAGGACTTACACCTCAGCACATGGGGCGTCTGATTAACCAGGTGAACTATGGGGCTCCTGTGCAAGTGTTTCAACTTGTATCATGTTGCCATTGTCAGGGATTTCAACATTGATACGCAAGCAGCACAGCCAGCCATTGGAAAAAAATACCCAGCTAACGCATCACAGGGCCTGCATATTTTAATGAGTTTGCCTTTCCGATTGCAAATGTAGTGAATCGTTGTGAAGGAGAAGGCTTCTTGTGTGTTTTAGCCAACAGAGTCTATAAATAGATAAGATAAGATAATCCTTCATTAGTTCCACTAAGGGGATATTTGTCGTAAAGGGGAGAGTAAAAATAGAAACTCAGTAAAGGTAGAAAATAATGAAACATATAATAGAAACACAATGAAATATAATAAAACATTTAAATTACATATGCAATTTAGAACAAATACAGTGTAAAAGGATTGCGATTATGTGATACTGAGATACTAGAACATGGGTATTGGACAGTTAGGTTAGTTAGACCTGAGTGAGTTTGTTGTGTAGTTCCAGAATAAATAAAAAAATATGTATTATTTATTATTATTTCAGAATCATTAGACATTATTTTATTTATTCATTGGCCTGAGACCTTGACAGCATTGACTATTTGAGTTAGTTTGTTTTGTAGTGAAGTCTACATTGATTTTTTTTTTTTATATTTATTTGCTATTTGCTAATCACTGAAGACATCTATCCTCTCTCTTCCCTGCAGTTCCTTCCCCTACCACAGAATTGTATGGGTCTTATTCCCCATGTAACATGCTTCTGTTATATCACTTAGTATTCTAATAATCTATAAGTTTCACTGAGATAAAAGATCTGACTGCTGATAAAAAGTATTTAAGTGTCAGCGCTCACAATAGCCAAGTCTTGTGATTAAGTGCAGAGCCGAATGTACAGCATGACTATACAGTTGGTATAAATCACATATGCATGGAGATAGACTTTATTATACCCTTATAGAAGAAACGGTTTAACTCACCACTCCTCATTATGCTGACTCCACAGTTGCCTCTTTCAAACTTGACACCTTCATACTTGTACCCTGTGGGGAAAAATACAGTTCACAAACGTCGCTGTTCTGAACAAGACCACTCAGTCATAGAAAATGCTGAAGGTAGACTGCTTAATGGTTGCAGACCTGCATTTATGTATCCATTTACATTATTGCATTCAGTCTGCTCTGTCAAGAATGGTTCAGAAGAACCAGATTCTGAGTCCAACCTTTAAACCACTGACTTGTTGTTAGAGGGACATCCTCACCTGTGGGTGTGGTCACAGTGCACTCTGAGTAGGGGAGCTGATTCAAGCCCTCTTCAACTACCAGTCTGATCTGTTGAAAAAAAAAAGCGAGAAGCTTATTATAAATGTATAAATACATATTTACACTGTGAAGTAATGAAGAGTGATCTTACCAGACGGTCGGCACAAAACACGAAATCTCCTCTGCTGGTTGTCCTGAAAATACAATTATTAGCATGATAATATCAGTTTAGGATACTGACCAACATTGAACATGGCTCCAATACTATAGATCTCATTTCTCTCTTAATTTAAAATCTTTACCGTACAGTGGGGAACTAACTAAGCCTTTAATTTTAATATCCTAATGCACTGATGTATAATAGAAATACTCATTGAATGTGGCAGGGGCATCAGACTGATATTTATGAGTGTGTGCAATTCTGTGCAGAGCCAAATAAAATGAATTTAAATGTGGTTTCATAAGGGGACTGTCCTTGTCGGGTGTATGCACTCTACTGAGGGCCATTAGTCAAATTTACTTTACCCTTATTTTGTCCAAACGTTTTGACTGTATCACAATGCTGATAGTTCGCTAGTTTACACTTCCCGTTGTATCAGGTCTTTGTTTTAGATATGTTGTGCTCTTACAATCAAATATTAAAACCCATCACATGTAAATGTCAAAATTCAGCCGGATGAATCTGGCATTTTTGCAAACCCTGCAGCTTCCCCTGGAAACTGAAAGAGGAAGAAAAGAGTTTCTGTGGGTTCGACCACTGTTGGTCTGCAGAGTGTGAGCTTATAGTAAAGTAGGTGTTATTGTTAATCAGTCAATACCCTGAATGATCTGTGCTGTTGAATCATTAGGCAGCGATGACGCATCAGAGTGATCATGGTGAGACTGGTGCATCATGACTTCACCCAACATAAATTTAACTCTAGAAGACCTTCTACTATACAGTTATATGAGATCTGACTTAATGACACTTAAGTTGTTTTTAAGCTTGAATGTTTTCTTCAATTTTAACTTTGTTTATCTTTTAATTACATGCTTCCTAAAATAAACCTAGATTATATGATTCGTTTGGCTTTTGTGACTAGTTGAGGGAAGTATACAGTTATTAATTTTTCTTCTGCTTAACCATCATATTCATATTGAGGATCTTTTTTGTAGAGACCATAAACTCACAGATAAGATTCACATCTCTACATGAGCACTTTGAAGATTGGACTTCAAACCGAACTGCTGAACTGATTTCTGAACAGATAGCAACACTTTGAATGCGCACACGTGACTTGTTGTGGTCTCGATGTGAGCTTGGAAGATTGGGGACTCACTTGTCTCTGATTATTGTCTGTAATTCTCGGATCTGGTCGTTGAGAGGGAGCAGTTTGAGCTGAGGTCCCAGGTTTTCCTGACTGTGCGGTTCGGTGACATCGCCGGGCTCAGCGCCGCTCGGCACCGCGGGGACACTGCTGCTGCTGTTGCTGTTGTTGTTGTTGTTAGCGAACCGGACCTGCTTCACCGGGTGGTCCTGGCCACTGGTGACACTGTTCATTGGCTGGTTGTGGCACGGCATCCTGCAAAGGAGATCAGCGAGGCTGAGAGGGCCCAGACAGCTTTTCCTGACCGAGCGACCCACTTACCAACACTTTATCTGACAAAGACGAGCGGCCACACAACGTGTTCAGACTTTAGCTCTGACCCTTGTTTTACAGTGAGATGTATCCGGCTCACGCTAACAACACTCGGACACTGGCCATAAGTAGCACACTCACTAACCTCCAGACACCCAGCGACGTCGTGTTAAACCACACCAGCTCTAGATCCCCCCCCCCCTGGAGTGGAGCAGCTACTAGCCTGCTAGCTTGCTAGCCTTGAAAGTGACAGCCCATTGGTGACGTCCCGGATGTGACGTAGCCGGCGTGCTGACTTACCGCCTTCCTCCTTCGTCCAACATGGCGCCGATGTTGGCATCGCTGAAATGCGGCTTTCACTTCCAAAGACGAAAACTTGCGCTTCTCCTTCGACAGACGAGCTCGTACCACGTTTGGAATAAAAGCAGCAGCGTGAAGGGCACCGAGCACAAGCACCACAGCGGCTGCGCGGTGAGTGGAGGGCCGCTGGGAGGCGGGTTGTCCGGAGAGGACACGGTGTTTTTGGGGGGCGACCATAGGCGACACAGTCACCACGCAAGGGCAGAGATGGGACAGTAGTGGAAACTAACTTTGAGAGAAGTTCTGTGTTGTGCTTCTGTCACAGTCTGTCGTCTGTTCGCAAGAGGGGCTGTGAGGTGGAATGTGAGGACAGTGTCAGTGGAGTTAGCCGGGACTGTTAGCATGTCACCTCGCTATAATGGTACCTGGTAGCGTTGTTTGGGTAAACCTCGCTACAAGGGTTCGACGACATAACGTACGATGACACGATCTGTTTTTAACGTATGACGTCATGTCAAGTGATTGTTGTTCGTGTCAGAGCTCCTGGGAGAGTTTCCCATGTTCATGTGAGTGGTCCCAGTCACGTGTGGACTGAGGGGGTCAGGGATGTTAGATAAGTGACAGACACCGAGGAGCCAATATCACTGCTGATGTAACTCGTCACGCGATCACTGATTATTGATTGTTCAACAAACACTCGTTTCCTGTTTTTTAGGCACATTTAGCCCAAAAATATATGACATCGTGCTTCGGCCAACTCCAAAATGTTCACTGTTTGTTGAAACTATTTTCATATGGTGCAGATTTACCTTCACGTTCATTATGAAGACTGTTATATCTAAATAAAACATTTCGTATAATTATCAAAATAGATGAAGCAACATTATTTTCTTCATGTCTAGAAACTCAAGACTGATTTCTGCTTCTGAGTGAAGGTTGTGGTTTTAACAACAAATGTTTGCAAAACAGAAAAAACACTGAGTTGAATCAGTGATGTCTTATAACTTATTCCCATAATCATTATATTAATATATAGTGAACATTTGTGATATTGCCGTTGATGAAATTTTGTTGCAATAATAATTGATGTAAATTTATTGCCCAGGTGAACTGAGGTGAACTTTGTAAACGGGCAACTCTCTTATACAGTTACATTAACTAAAGTTATAAACAACTGAGGCGACCGACCGAAAAATTATCTGCAACTATTTTAATAATTGATTAATAATTTCTGTACATTTTCTACTGAAATACTGATAATATCCCACATTGTGTAATTCCAGTCTTTGAGGTGTTATGTTTTGCTTTTTTGTCACATATCATTGTTAAATAGTATTTTTGTGTAGTTGAGATTTGATGCTCCAAAGCTGTACTGAGTAATTGATAAATTTTACCCAATTTTATGTGTTTTTGAAGTCTTACTACAAATGTAGCTGCTGTGCAAGTTAAGTTTCGGTCCTGCATGCTTATCTTTAACCGTCCATGGTGTATTATCAAGCAGCAGCAGTTTGGAGTTGTTTTTGTCATTCATAAACAGTGACAGAGATGAAATAGGTTTTTCAGAGCTTCACAAAATATGGTAACAACCACAAGCTTTGGAAATATTTTTGAAATTTGTGAAATGTTGTGACCTTCTGTTGCCTGCTCTGATTTAATGTGGGTTAAAGTTAATTATGTTGATCACATACTCATCTTCTGCTCTGCTCATATGTTTGTGCAGTACGTCGCTAACCTTTGCATGAACTTTGAACTGTGACTTTGGTGACATTTAACTGTAATGACGTCTTCAAATGCTCTTAGAGAAGAAACATTTGACTTTGTTTGCATCTGAATCAAATGCTTTTATTGTGTATTTGACCTTTTGGTATATTATCTGTTAATTCTGATCTTTCAGTTGGGTTTAAGTGTTTGTGATTTTTATAACACATTCATTAGAGCACATCCCTCTGCCAAGGCACCTGTTTAATTCAAGCTGCACTGAATAGCACAAACTCACAGATATGAGTAGCCTAAATATCCCTGTTTTTTTTCATCAAGATTCATGAATTATTTCCTGAGAAATTGTTGAAAATGTAAAAAAATGCACTGTTTCTCAATGTTAAGAAACGAAAATCTTGATTCCCCCTCCAACACCTAGTCGGTTCTTTCTTTACCCATCACCCACTCAGTCACCAAGTTTCATGGAAATTTGTTCAGAAAAACAAAGACATAGACATGGGAGAAAAATGTACTTTCTTGGTGGAGGTAAAAATTGCAGTAGAAACTTCAGTTAAATGAACCATCTCCTGTGTTTCAGCTGAGTTCCCCCCTACACTCACGAACAGCGACATGGAACACAAACAGAAGCGAAAACAGTCGTCGGATTTTGGAGGCAGCAAAAGTAAGTATTTGTGAGGATGATTGTGAATCAGTGTTTGTTATTAAAATCCAGCCAAGAATAACATGGTATGTTGTTTGCACAGCATTTGCAGGTGACTGAGAAACGGACATGTTGGCATGGAAATGCGGGGGGAGGGCTGAATGCTGATCCAAAAAATGTGGTGAGAACATATCCTCTTTTAGGATTAGATTATTGAAAATGACTTTGATGAAATGATTTTTTGGGAGTTGTTCTTCACATGCACACTTAAATTAAGAGCACATATGAACTGAAAATAACGCAGTGGACACGACAGTGGATTTGAAGTATTATGAAAATTTCAAAAATGCTGACAAATGTTATTCTCAAGATTCCAAAGCTAAAAGAGGTGTCTTTCCATGTTGAGCAATCCGGTGTTTTTCAGTCTTGGGTTTAGGGAGTTATCTGGGAAGTTTGTTCTGCTGAAGGAAATATATAAGATATATAAGGCTGATATATATCTGTGTACAGTATGTATTCATATATTCTCATTAAAGAATTTTGTAGGGTTGAAGTGCTTTATAATGTCTCAATGACTGTCTCATGGCAGAAGTTTTAGACCTCGATTTAACACCAATTATGTTCTTTGATAAGATTAGTCTGTCTACACATAATGAACAACTTTAACTTTAAAAGGCAACATTTGCTATTTTTACAAATTAACAACTGAAATCTCTTATTCACATTCTTAAGAGTATTAAGCGTTTTTCTTTAAAAGCTGCATCAGACTTAAAATAAACTATCACTGAGTAAGACAGCCTTTTTTATTTATTAACTGGCCTTCAACACATATGGTACATAAACCTTCAGTGGTTCACTCAGCTGCTAATGTTTGTCTTCTCTTTGCAGTGAAATGCTTAGCTTGATTGTCTGTGGTTAAAGGCAGGTTTTGGGCACAGTTTCACAGTTATATGATAAGAGGTGCTGCCTTATAGCAGTGCTGTAACATGATGCCACCATATTGTGTGGATTAGAGTAATTACTGCATATTCGTTGGCCTGTGCAGAGTCCCCATGGCAGGTGTGCGGTAGAGTTTGGGTAAACAGCCATGTTGGCACCATTGGGCTCTCAACCTCAGCTGAGATGACAGCTCAGGTGTCTCTCAGGACTTGTAGTGTCACTCTGGATACCCATGTCCACCTGGAGTCTGCTGTCGTAGCTTCTCCTGGATCCCCCCGAGGGAATCTCATTGACATTTGATGTACCAGGTGTCTGCCCAGAGAGCCATGTTTAGGTGATTGCAACTGTCACGCTGAACACAAAATGCAAGTTAGTTGTGATAATTAGTGAACATAAGGAAGGTTAGAAAATAAACATTAGAGTAAATAGCCTCCTGATCTCTGCTTTACAGGACAAATGAGTGGATCAAACTTGGGGGACTATGATCTCATCACATACTAGTCTTTTGTTTTCTTCTCTACAGCTGAAGGAGGTGAATTCAGCCAAGATCCTGTCGGCAATGTTCTCTTATGTGTGGCCAAAGGACAGACCTGACCTGCGGGCCCGTGTTGCCATTTCTCTGGGCCTGCTCGTTGGAACCAAGGTAAGGTTATCGTCAGCAACATGGGTATCAGAGATGTACTTTCCTTTTGTACTTCTTTGTTGGTTTTTGTTGTATAATGTCAATCTGCTACTCCAATCAGTGCTAAGTAGTTTTATTCATCCATATCCTGTAGGGCTGTCAACGAATATTCTAAATTTGAATATATATTCGAATATTTAAAAAAAACGAATATTCGATTGTGAAAATTAATATTCGACTTTGGAAAAAAAACACATCAGCGGCTGTTTTGTGAGTGGGCGCACTGCATGACAGGTCAGGCCACAGGAGTTGCACTTGGACAGCGTCACTCACTGCTGGTGAAAGTGAGATGCGACCACGGTTTCCAAGCGGGTGGATACAAATTTGGGCTGTTTTCGGATTGGTTCGGCGGGGTTTTGTAGCCGAAACACGGGCACTTCAGATCCTTCTTCCTGCGACCCGCTGTTCAGCAGGCAGCAGTCTCACTCACTCACTCACTCACTCACTCACTCACTCACTCACATACACACACACTACAGCTCTGGCTGACGTGCCCCCTAAACCTGCAACATACACTCCCACTACCTTCAGCTCACCTCACCCACAGAGACCTGTTATTACCTTTACAGACTATGGTTATTACCGACCGTTATTAACAGATTGTTTATTTAAATCAGTATGCGCATTGTACATAGAGAGAGAGAGAGGGGCGAGAGACGGAGCGGTCTTTTTTTTATGGGAACTGAGAGAAAAAATACCTATACAATTAGTTATGCCTCGTATTAGTTTGTCCTCCTGTTATTGACATAATGCACATTGCGCATGTGTTTTTTTAAAGCAAATATTCGAACGTCATTTTGGAGCAATTTTGACAGCCCTAATATCCTGCAGTTGCAGATATTGAAATTTTTAGTCCAGCCACTTAACACTGAAGATGACCTTGGTTTATATTTATATTTTTTTAACACTTCTGCTGTTTTACCTTCACACTGAAATAAAAAATAATTGCAGTCAATGTTGTCTTTGATTACATAAGACTCAAA